CAAACACCTACGGACAACCCAACCCAACCCCCACATAAATAAAGGGAATAATAATAGTTATGTCTAAGTCCAGTTGAACCCTGGCTAGAGGGTTAACAGCATGGTGCGTATCTTGTAAAATAACACATATAGACATAATGTAATGTAATATGTTGTTAATATATTAAAGTGCAATTTTGACTCAGAATAAGAATACCTTTATTAGTCCCACAGAGGCGACATTTACATTACAGAAAAGAGCCAAAGACATCTTAATGTTACCTTTGAAAGAGTTACTCCTCTTCTGCCTCATCCCCTACTCGTTAAAACACATTTTCTCCAAACTAACAAAAGCATAACGGAGCAGTTAATCCTCCTTACCTTCCCAGAAGACTGGATTCCCTTTATCATGGCGAGGCAGACCATGGTCCAGGCAGCCAGCAGGCACAGAGTCATCCTCCAGTTCAGACCTCCGCCCTCAGAGATGTTGTTGGAGATGTTCAGGGCCTCGCGGTACCAGTAGTACGTGGTGGCCGAGCTCTTTTCACACTCTGGCACCACATCTGAGGACAACACGGTACAAGATAAGCACTGAGGCCTTCTGATAGGAGTTAAAGGCTGATTCCATGGTGAATTTATCAGTCCATCAGTCTTAAAGCTGGAGTAGGAAGTTTATTTTGTTAGTGTCAATGGGCTAATATACCATAATAACCTTTCAGTATTTTGAAATTCAAGTGGTTTAAGAGGAAACTAGACTTCTTTATCCTGGATTTGTTCTTAGAATATAGTAAACCTAGCCTGTGACAGACGACTTTGGCAAATCACAGCTCAATTCAGAAAGACATAAATGCAGATCTTGTGCACATTATTTCAGAAACCTTGATTCAACCAGGGAATATGTTTCAGTTTCAGAACATTCCAGCGTTAGCAAAGAAAATGAAGGGAGACAGACAGTGGCGATCCTAGAGTCGGTGGGGGCCCTAGGCAAGCATTGACTTGGGGCCCCTCGAACCAGCTTTCCGAGCCCCCCCCCCCGGAGCGGAGCAAGGCAACTTCAGATGAGAAGCAGCATTTTACGGTGCGCTATGCATGGGGCCGCCTTGAGGGGGTTTCCCGACATGTCGTTGCAGTCAATTAAAGGGTGTTTCATGTTGTCGTTGTTGTGGACCTTTTTAATCTACCTTCTTTGGGGGCCCCCTTCTGGTCCGGGGCCCCCAAGTAATTGCCAGCCTTGCCTGTTCGCAAGGAGCGCCCCTGGAGACAGATATGAAGTGTTGCTCAGGAGGAAACATTTTGCTAAAAGTTTCGCTTTCTGCCAACCAAGCCAAAAGGTTGCGTCTGCGGATAGCTAAAGGCTAACGTTAGCAAAATGTTCTCTCCATCTTTGAAATGTTTGCCCTTAGTATAGCTAGCTAGAGACTCAAATCACAGTATATTATCTTAAAGGGTTTTCAGGCCTGCATTTACAAGTAAGATTACCTATAAATCGTATGGTTGATGTTTTTAATAAATGACTAGTACTCGTAAAGGTTGCTATGTTCTAATGTTTTTTTCTTTGCCCACCCTGGGGAACCACCTAAAGTTACTATGTACTGAAAGCTTTCTATGGATTTTTTTTCGAAATGACCCCCAAACTAAACCACCTACCCCAGCTTTAACATGTGTGTTTGTGTCTTACATGTCATGGTCTTGTTCTTGACCAGCGGACACTCGTGCCACGGCAGCGGCTGCTGGAAGGACTGAGAGAAGTAGAAGAGACTCCAGCTGATGATGACGTTGTAGTAGAGAGCCACAAAGAAGCACACCTACAGGAAACAGGGGGGAGTTAGCTTCAGATACACACAACCAGAAACAGTGGATAGATATGTTTAACTTTAGAGGTAAACATTCATCATGCGCTACCAAACATGATCGACATGTATTCTTTCTCTTTGTTATTGCTATTCCTTTTTTAAAATCTTATTTAGACTTTTCCTGTTGCTCAAAGCGCTTGACTAAACTATACCACTTCCTGTTTTGTAGATGTATGAATTGGGGTATAGTGCGTTTGAGGTTACAGTAAGAACGATCATTTAACACACAGTTTAAAAATGAAAAACTAAAAATGAAATATCCAATCCTCTTAGTGACCAAATGTTTCAAGAATTGTATTTATTATTATGTTTTGCATTATTTATTTCTATTATAATTGAATGAAAACGTTTTTCTTATATTTTATTCATGAAAGTAGCATAAAGGCAATAAGTCTACGTATTGATTACTCATAGACAGACATATAATCGACAACTATTTATTCTTTATATTATATCAATAGGTTTGAATTTTGGACTGAACACCAAGCCGTCAAGTTGGACTTTTAGAAAGCAAAACATATTACAATTTTCTGACATTTTATAAAGCACCCAATGTATCCCAATTTGTATGAGCTGTGTGTATTAATGTTTACGTCTGTGTTATTTATTTATATTATGAAAGGTTGTGGTTGTAAACAAATGTGATTGACTGATGAATACAAATGCAG